TATATTAGACTCTATCTCTATATAACAGAAAGTAGTTATATGCCAGTCTATTTTGAATTGGCCGTTCAACTTAAAAATCACCAATTTTTTACATATTTTAAGTTGCGAAAAGAAAACAAACATTCATATATGTAACAGAAAAATTAGAAAATTAGATTGTTCAGAAATTTATTCATAATATTAAATTCAATTATGTATAGTTAGCCTCACATTTGAAATAAAATTATCTAATATTTTTTTTAACATCTCATTTGGGTTTAATTTTTGCAATTGTAATATTATAGGTTGAATACTTCAGCCACATGAGAATGGAATCAGGACTAGAGCATTTGAAGAGAGCAGCAGAGAAAGGACACGTGGAGGCCTCATACGTGTACGGTATGATCCTCCTCTCTAGGGGTGGGCAATCAACAAAACAAGGCCTAAAGCTTCTAAATGTCATGAACAATACTTGTTCAAATTCAAAGAGCTTGAGAATCCAAGAGTGCAGAGAAAGAATCAAAGCCATTATTCACACAATGTGGATCAACAATTATATGGTTAGCCAACAAACAAATTTCTGTTGTCATGGAAAAACTCGAAGCATCAGAGTGAGAGAGACATGGAGAGGCCGCGAAGAAGAGGATGACAACATGAGTTGTGAAGCTTGTAAATGGGATAGAGAAGTCAACTTGTTCTGTAACATGTTAATGGGTAGGAGTGTTTAGATTATTTATAAAAGTTGTGCTATATAAATACAGAAATCAAATATAGGTCTCTTTTGGTAACTAGGTTAAAAGTCTATAGACAAAAATCAACACTGTTAGAAGTGGGAGAAACATGGAGGAGAGGCCAGGAAGAACAGGATGACAACATAAGTTGTCAAGGTTGTAAATGAAATGAAGAAGTCAAATTTGCTTTGCAATGTTACTTCCTAAGATTGTTTAGATCATTTTATTTATTAATTAATTATGATTATGGTATGTTCAACTCTATGGCTTCAATGGGATACCATTTTTTTTTTTTTAATTACCACGAGATTTGTCATGAAAGATTGCTAAATTTATATTCCTTAGATAATCATAGACCTATATGTTAACTTAGTGATTGAACTCAGTGACTTGAAAGGATCATTTTTTTATCCAAAATTCAAATGGCTGTTATTAATTTTCTTTAATTGACAATGATTTTTTTTTAAAAAAAAAATTGATGATGAAATTTAAATTTCAAACATTTCCTTTCATAAGCATAACCGATTGTATTATAAAAAAAAATGGAAGAAATATATATATATATATATTTTTTGAACTCCAAAAAGAAAGACTCGTGGAATATCATAATATTCGTGGATTCTGGTTCCGGAGTAACTAATTGCTAGTTATATTTAATTCAACCCATAGGAAAAAACTCATCACCGAGGCACCCAATTGACATTCTTATGGACTACAAAAGAGACTAAGGTTTGATCAGATTACAATACAAAGTCCCAGAGAGAGAGCGTGCCTCCCAGGATTCAAACCTGACTCACCCTGGTGAAAACGCAATGTGTTATGCATTTGATGGTGGAAGAATTATATGTTGTATGACTGATTGTCCTAGTAGACAAAAATGGGAGAATTATATTGACATGGTGTCAATAAAAAATATTTTCCAACAAAAAATATTATAAATATTAGTAATTAATATTATAAATATTTTTATTAATTTATAATTTTTTTTCCTCTAATACCATTGTCAAGTAATTATCCTAACAAAAATTAAGTTTCATACAAAATGACTAATTTAAATATCCGTATTGGACATGACATTGTTGTTAATAATATTTGAAGGGGATTAAGGTTAGAGAGGTGATTAGAGAGGCAAAACTATGTTAATGGTCCAATAATGGTGGAAATGGTTGGAGAATGAGTAACAACTATCTGGGAGTTGGAGAGTGTGTAGTTGGGTGAGGGTGAAGCAAGTGGCTCAAGAAGAAATATATGGTAGTACCAAAATGGGCAGCATCTCCCCCAAATCCCCAAAATTCCTCTTTTGAACCTTGGGAAATGGGTCATATTCATAGGTTTTCCTTGGTACCAAGAGGACACCAAGTGGCCAAATAGAGAGAGGACATGTGTCCCAGAGGATCACATAGAATATTCTGCCTTGAGCCACCAGGTTGAAGGTGCCACGTGTCTCTCTGCATGTACTGTGTACTATCTGTTTGCCTCTGCAACTACCTTTTTGAGCCTTAGCAAGTGCAGTTGCAGCGGGAGTGTTTGCCTCTGCACTTACCTTCTCAACCTGAACCTTAGTAAGTGCACTTGCAGTGGTGAACCTTGCCGCTACACTTGCCTTCTTAGTTCTATTTGGTCAGTAAAGGCATTCTCAGGACTTTATTAGTCTGCTATCGACTATGTTTGTTCTCACCTCAACGAAGCGTCCACCGTTAGCCACCTAATCACAAGCTCCCTAGCTTCCCAAGGCGAAGGCCACAGCCAAGCTTGCTATCAGCCATGCTGTGCCTTAGTAACAAGCCTAAGGGGGTTTCCTTAGTCCTTCTTGTGTGACTAAGGTAGGTCCGTGACTTGAGTAATGGAAATGGAGTCCTTTATGCTTGGGCTACCCTACTCCCATCTTTGTGGGATCGCCACGGTAAACTGGTATATATGAGCCTGTTATCCGCTTCAACCAGTAAGTCTTGGGGCCTGCTATCAGTGCCAAATTAAATGAACTTTGGGACCTGCTATCAGCCCTATGCTAGTAATGTCTTGGGGCTTACTATCAGCACCAAGCATTAGCCTCTACTTACAGAAGGGAAGCTTTTCCTAAAGGCTGCTATCACCTTGGCGGGATGTTTCCTTCCCAAGTTGGTTGTCGCGACTATAGTTGCTGTGGCAGTCATTTCCCGTGGCAAGTTCAAATGACAAGACTGACAATATTAGAAACAGTGGCGCCAACAAAATGCCTTCGCAACTTGGGAGCTGCAAGTACTGTCTCTGCAACTTAGTTTCTTCAATTTTCTCCTTCCCTCAGTAACTCCAGATGATTGTGGTATCGACATTACTTAGAATGACGACGTTGGGGCAAAGTGCCTCCGCAACTTGGCCATCGCAAGTGTTGCCTCTGCAACTTAGTTGCGTTAGCTTTTTCTTTTCCTCAGCAACTTTGGATGGTGGCGGAATCGAAGTTATTAGAAACGGTGGCGCTGAGGCAAAGTGCCTCAGTAACTTTCCCGCTGCATGTGTTACCTCGGGTCTTTAAGCATAGGGTTCTGTAGACACCCCATTTTTGACCGTCCTCAAGACTTGGACATCACCGTTTGAACGCTGGGTGATCATCCATGTTCGTGTTCATTTTAAGTTCCCGGAGGCCTCGGCCGCGCGCCTTGCCTCAAGATCTCTTAACTTGCCTGTTCTATGCTTGGTTTTGCACCAAGGACTTGTGTTTTGTGCTTCTGAGGGTGGGAAGAGGCTTGTTAGCCATCCCTGAAACCCACCGGCCGTGGCATGATGCCACCGGCCTTGTTTTTTTTCTACCGACTAAATATTTGGTCGGTCGGCACTTCTGCTAGGTGTATCGGCCTTTTTGTGTGGTCGGCCGACCATTCATTTGGTCGATTGACTCATTTTCTGGCCGATACCTCATTTTTGCCTTTTTCAGGCATGGTGCATGCCAACTATGCCAGCTGGAGTGCACGGACTTGTCCTCCATACACGTGTATGGAGGATTTGCCCCTTTTGCACCTTTTTGCTCAAGCTTCTTGGAGAAGCTTGCACCCTTTGCTCAAGCTTCTTGAGGAAGCTTGACCCTTTGCCTTAGCTTCTTCAGGATGCTTAGACCCTTCGCCTTAGCTTCTCTTAGAAGCTTGACCCCCTTGACCCTTTTGTATTAGCTTCCCTTAGAAGCTTAGCCCTTTGTCTTCCTCTATAAAAGGAAGCCTTCTTTCTCCTTTGAAGAGATTTAGTAAATCATAGTTATATAGCATATATGCACCACTCTCTCTCTATATCTCCCTCTCTCTCTTCATTTGTGTGTGTGAGAGAGCCTAAAAGGGTGTTTTGTTCTTAGTTTTGCACTAAGGCACCCAGTATTACACCATACTTGGGTTGTTGGGGTCTTGAGAGTTTGTTCTTGGAGTTTTCAGTTGATTTTGATCAGAAGAAGGGGCCTGAGGTTGCTGTTCTTCAAGGGTGAGTATAACTACTTTATATTCCCCATTCTTGCCCTAGCTTTTCACCCACTTTGCATGCTGTTTTGAGCTTTGTGTATAACTGATAAAAACTCTAATTTTTCATGCTTAAGATGTTTTATTAAGGTCACTTTGGTGTTGGGGGTCGACCTCCCCCTCTTTGACCTTGTTTGGCCCCTTTTTGTGCCTTCTTTGTTGAGGCTTTGTAACTTTCATGTATTGGCTTTCTCACCACTGAAAGCCAGAGAATTTTCAGTGGTGAAGAAGAGGTTTTGAAGTCTTGCATAGGGGAGGGACACCCCTCTCCCTTTGTGTCTCATTTGTTCATGTTTTTGGCTCATAAGGGTAGCATGCATGCTTAGTTTTGTTTGGTCTTGTTTCAGAGGTTATTTGGAGTTTATTTAGCATGTTTTACCTCTGTTCTATGTTGGTTTATTGACCCCTTGCATGCATAATATACTTGCCTTGTATTCCTCCATTTTGCCTAAAAATGCATCTTGCCTTTAGACCTCCATGCTTGCATGTTCTAGCTTGACTTCATGAAGCTTTTGGTCATATTTCATCATGCTTAGGGTCTGTTGGGTGCTGATTTGATCATGTTTTCCATGTTTGGTATAGCCTCTTTGCATTTTGGCTTGCGAGCCTTAAGTGTGTGAGTCATTAGCTTGCATTACCTAGGCCATTTCAGTGATTTGGAATCACTTATTATGCCATTTCAGTCCATGTTTTGTGCTTACATGCTTGCATTTGCTACCCTTTCGATGCCTTGAAGAGATGTGATCTTATGCTCCATGTTAGAGCCTTGGTGTATGCCTATGTGTTTGAGGCTTTGGGCTGCCATATCAGTGGGTTTTAGGGTGCATTTGGATGTATTATAACTCTGTTTTTCATCACATAATCCATGCCATGTTTGGTTGGGGTGGGTGTAGAGCAATGCTCTCTTTCGGGGCTTTGAATGCCCTTTGTTTTGGGCCCATTTCTTGGCATGTTTTGACCATGTTCCATGCATGTCCTAGTCTTATTTTGGTCTGCCCTGAGTCTATTTTTAGTCATCTTGGCCTTGTGGGTCTTGGTTGATATGGCCTTAGTTCAAGCATCTTGACTAGCTTTGGACCTTAAGCCCTTTAGCATGCTTTATTCACCTTAGGTGCATGATTTGGTAGCATTATTGACATGATTTCAGAGCTTGTTGTATTGCCACATCCTCATGTTTACTCCATCTTGCTCATGCTTGAATGTTGTGCATAGTGGTCTAGCTTATGGGCCAATGTTGTGTGTGTATCCACCTCCCCTTTTGGCCCCTTAAATTGGGTGTTTTGGCCACTGTTTTGGGGCATGGCTGAGGCCTCCCATTTCAGTTTAAGTCCATCCTTGTATATAAATTCCATGATTGACATGTTGCATTACATTGGTTGGATGCTTACATTGTATCATGTTTGCATGTATGCATGTTGTTTAGCTAGTTGCATTACATAGTCTCGTTGTATGCTTGACATGTTCATATTGCATTAGTTTGGCTTGCATGGTTAGGTAGTGTCATGTTGCATTAGCTTAGCA